ACAGAACAGAGAACCCAAATATAAAACCACCCTCATATAGCCAACTAATCTTCGACAAAAACCTACACTGGGGAAAAGAATCCTTATTCAATAACTGGTGTTGGGAAAACTGGATAGCCACATGTAGAAGACTGAAACAAGACCCACACCTTTTACCTCTCACAAAAATCAACTCACGCTGGGTAACAGACTTGAACCTTCAGTGTGAAACTATTAGAATTCTAGAGGAAACTGTTGGAAATACTCTTCTAGACATTGGCCTAGGCAAAGAATTTATGAAGAAGACTCCAAAGGCAATCACAGCAGCAATAAAAATAAATAGATGGGACCCGATCAAATTAAAAAGCTTCGGCACAGCCAAAGAAATTGTCAAGAGAGCAAACAGACAACCCACAAAATGGCAGAAAATTTTTGTAAGCTTCACATCCCATAAAGGGCTGATAACTAAAATCTATTTAGAATTCAGGAAAATCAGCAAGAAAATATCAAACAAACCTATCAGAAAATGGGGAAAGGACATGAACAGCAAGTTCTCAAAAGAAGACAGAATAATGGCCAACAAACATATGAAAAAATGCTCAACATCTCTAATCATCAGGGAAATGCAAATCAAAACCACAATGTGATATCACTTAACTCCAGTTAAAATGGCCTTTATCAAAAAGTCCCCAAACATTAAATGTTGGCATGGATGTGGAGAGATAGGAACACACCTACACTCCTGATGGGACTGCAAACTAGTTCAACCTCTCTGGAATACAATATGGAGATACCTTAAAGCGATACAAGTAGATCTATGATGTGATCCAGCAATTCCACTACTGGGCATATACCCAAAAGATCAAATGATAGTACAAGAGGGACACCTGCACTCAAATGTTTATAGCAGCACAGTTCACAATTGCAAAGTTGTGGTAACAACCCAAGTGCCCATCAATTCATGAGTGGATTAATAAAATGTGATATATGTATATCATGGAATACTACTCAGCTTTAAGAAACAATGGTAGCTGGAACCCATTCTACTAAGTGAAGTATCTCAAGAATGGAAAAACCAGCACCACATGTACTCACCAGCAAATCAGTATTAACGGATCAACACCTCAGTGGACATACAGGAGTAACATTTATCGGGTGTCAGGCAAGTGGGAGGGGGGAGGTGGGGATGGGTATATATAAACATAATGAGATGTGCAATGTTTGGGGGATGGTCACGCTTGAGGCTCTGACTCGATGGGGGAGGGGCGCATGGGCAATATATGTAACCTTAACACTTGTACCCCCATTATACACTAACAAAAAAATTAAAAACCCTAAAAGAAAACAATGGAAATAAACACTATTTAACTGGATCTACTGAACTAACAACTAGCACAGTTCTGACCACCTGAGAACCAGCCTGGTGCAGACTGTGCCTTCTAAAATGGGTTTGCATCTAGCCATCAGGCAATGCACTGCTTTTGCTCATTTCATGACTAGCATTATACAATAAATGTCTGACAGCAGGATAATTATACGTTGTACTTTCAGTTGCGATTCATTTTTTACAAATTTAAAACCTGACTGTGCTTTTAACTTTGGAGATTTTAATTTTGCTCTTATCCATCTGGGTGATATATAGCATGTGGCTTGACTCCGTTGGGCTTTATTATAATCTAAATTTCACCCTGGGCACAAATCACATCTGTTCCATGGAATTCTTTCAATTCTTGTGACTACATATGGAGCACAGAATGTCTGTTTACCTAATATATGACAAGTCTATATGTCAGCCCACGTGGGGCAACAGGCCCTTCTGCGAGTAGGGGATACCACAGCTAGCAGGGAAGTGTGGGGTCTGCAGCAGCCCTGTGCGATTTGGAAGATGCAGATGGGGTCTCAGGGAAGGGGCCTCCCCAACAGGAAGTTAAATTTTGTTAAGTATAAGATAGAGGTTACTGAAAGGGTAAATGTTATTATGTACATTTTTGTATCATGATTATAGTTTCAGAATTAAATGAGACCACTAAATGTGGATTTATTAATCACTGAATATAAAATATGCTGTGATTATCTAGTATGTGAAAATTCTTAGCCTTTATTACAAGGGAAGAAAGTATAGACAGTAAATAAATTCTCAATAACGTGGCTACAATATATGACATAAATATCATTGCTATCTTATTTCTACATATAAAAGACTTGGAATTCTGCCACAAAGGCTCATCTGCTGACATTCATATGCAGCATCTGCTTATACATTAATATAAATTAGCTTATAATTTAATGAAGTGATCCTGCCATGAGTATAGTATCAGACATTGTGTTAGGTAGAAAAATTACCAGGCAAAACCTATTAATTGAATAAATTGCATTTAAACATAGCACTTAAAATAATATTTAAAAATATATAATATCTTTGGAAGAATCATGATATACCTAATATTTATATGTTATAAACGCACATCATGGTTACAATGTATGGACTTAGATAAGTATGTTCTTGTTTGACATACTCTTTGAACTGACTCAAGCCTCACTAAGCCATGTTAGAATTATTTTGAAAAGACGATAAAAGCAACTGAAAGTTACATTAAATAATGAAGGCTTCATATATTGATACAATTTTTCTTCATATGCAAGTGTTAATAATATTTATATATTTTCAATTTTGAATAATTATAATTCTTGCAAATAGTTGAGAATGTTACCTACATCTGTATAATCTATGTACCAGAATGTTATAAAAAAGTGTTAATTTGAATTGAAAGCTTTTCTCAATATTAACACTTCTAAAAAACTTTTATTTTTCATAAACTGGTAGTACTATTAATTACATTGTAGGTTTACAATTTTACTTATTTAAATTACTTGATGCAATGACTAACAGTTTTGACTTTTTACTAGGAGAACCCAGGTAAATCTGTTTGAAATGCTTTCTTTTATTATGCTCCCATCAACCTTCTGAATTACTGAAGATATTCATATAAGCAGTGACAGATGAAAATGTTTGTTTCTTTTTAATTTGCATTTTGTCATAATTCTTGTTCTTTTGCTAACTTGTTGCCTTTATTAGTTTCCTGATGGGTTATTTTACACTATTTCTGCCATATATTTGAGTTAAAATTCCAACTGCATGGATTCAAGGCAAGAAAGTCAGCAATTTTATTAAAGACCAGCTGGATTCTTCAATCCTGGACAGAAAAACCTATATTCTCTTGAAACAAATCCTTGCTGTGTCTTACCCAAGGGCTTGCTGCCTAGAGTGTCCATAACAGAAGAACAAGCTCACAAATTAATACCTGCAATTGGAGGGTTATCCACTCAAGTACTCTTAGTTCTGGAAACCATTTGCTCCTCTGCTCATAGAGTCTACCCTGATTAGAAGGCACACAGATTCTCGCTAGACTCCAGCGTGAGCTGCGCTGGGCTCACTGCCTTGTCTAGTGCCCACTCGAGGCCCTCATAAGGGCAGCTGGGATATACCAGGCCATCTTGATTTTAAGTCAGACCATTCCAAGCAGAGCCTCCAAATTTAGTAAAAATCTGTACAGCAGCTTTTGCACTAGATATTTATAGACAGAAATTTCAGAAAACTTGGAAATTGAGTTGATTTTTCCATACGTGTTTCTATTTTATGTATGTTCTCTTTAAAAACAAGAGATTTACTTAAGCTCACATAACGTGAAATGTTAGAGAATCATTCTTTCGCCTTAAGTTCCATGGAATTAATCAAGAAGTCCATGGTACTTACTAAATAAAGTGGTGGGCCTTATATATTTTATAAATACTGCAATATAATAAAGTGTTTTACATTATTTTAATAGCTATCTTAAAAAATACTGTTCCCTATATTCTAAAGAGTGTGCCCACACTTTGCCCGTCTATGAATCAATACATCAGGGCACAAGAAGTTTTGTAACATTTTTTTTTCTGTGAAGAGAAAAAAATGAACTAAATTTATGAAGTTATCTTGATAATCCTTTTCCTAACATCTTGGTCCTTACTGGTTTCTCCACTTCCTCTCATGAGTGTGTATGTAGGTGCGGCAAAGCATCTATCCCTGAACTGGCTTAAGTTTCCCTCCTTTAAAATTTATCTTGATTTTTTTTTCTCAATTCACTAAACTATCATTAGAAATTTCTTTTAACAAGACTACAACAGATAAAATCAGATTAACTTATTTAATCACAACAGTACAGTGCCTGAATAATGTGTGGAGACACTGCAGAGACACAGGAAGTGTCTGCCATGTCTCCACAGGACCACCTTCCCGTGCTGCCCTGCTATGCCAGTGCCTGACGTCAAAACGTGCTGGAAGGTGGGTCTGTGAAGTGCGTTCAGATGGAGCCAAGAAATTAGGCATATGCTAAGTAAGTCAGCTGGCTATTCAAGTTGAGAATAATGTTCTCTTTGATCAAGCACTCCTTAAAAGGAGAATTTGCCCAAGTATTTTATTTTACAAAAACGTCTGTCTCGAGTTGTCAACAGTATCTGTTGTACCTAGGTCCTTTTTTGATCTTCAAATACTTTACATCCTTCATGTAATCTAAGTGCCATGAAAGCACAGACAGACTGTCCTCATTAATCTGAACTCCTTTAGATTTGTATGAGGGTAAACAGAGGGCAATACTCCAATTCCAAATCTGAAGACATCAAATTACTACTGATAAAAAAGCAGCTGACCTTGGCAAATGAAGATGACGATTCTTGACAACATCTTCAGAAACTTAAAAGTACATATAGTGGAAATTTAAAATGATGAAATCTCTAGTAGATTCACTTTTTAGGTACTTAAAAAAACAACATTTTTATTATGAATATTTTCAAACATACATAAATATATTATCAAACATGCACAAGTAGTAAAATGAATCCCCATGCCTCAATATTAAGGACTGTTTTTTAAGTTCTAGGATTCAAAGACTATCTTGAAACCTCAACCATTATAGTTTGTTCATTTTACACAGAGATACTTTCAGGTGAGAAAAGCAGGTGCTACGTAAGGCAAGAGCTCTCACCGACACACTGGTTCCACTGGTAGTGCTGGATGTACCCTTGAGGGCAGCCACACCTGTAGCCACCCAGGATGTTCTGGCAGCCATGCTGGCACCTGTGGTTTCCATCACATTCATCAACATCTGCAAAAACAGTCCCGGCAAAAGCTTTATGTCACCTTTCTTCTACTATTCTTAAATGCATTCCAAACACAACCTAGGGTAACTATTATCAGGAACAAACAAACAAGATGGCACACAGAGAGGCTGTGATTTTCCCAAGTTGCATGGCTTTTAGTGGTGATGCAAGAACAGTTCTGTGATACCAACCTCACCCTTCTGTTATCCACCAGACACGGCACATCAGTGCTCTGAATAACATCTTAATTTCAGCAAATCAACCATAGCAACCACAAGTGTTGTGCATTTTGGACTGATTAACTTTGTATGGTATGATTTATTTGGTAAATGATGTATGTGTATGTATGTATGTATGTATGTGTATGTGTGTGTTTGTATTACATATTCCAGTAGATTCAAAAGTGATTGAGATGTAGTCATCATTTTCAGGAAGATACAAGCACTACAGAATACCTAAGGAACACATCTGTTTTGCACACAAAAATGTTCATTACCATTTAAGATTAACTAGATGCAAATCCCTTTTAAGTATTTGAATACATTATTTTTAGACAGGATGTGTTATTATTATACATATGGAATAATTTCTTTGTTTATATATGCATACTCTTTTGGAATGACAACTGAAATCTACCCATAAAGAGTGAAATAAAATTGGCCTGTCTGATGTGTGTATAACAAATTTACATAGATAATAAACAGTGTCTCACACCGATAGTCATGAGCTGAACTGACACATGCCAAGCAGCTGTGGGTCCAGAATAGTTTCATTGTCTCAATGATTTCAAATATAAAATATTAAAATTGAAATTTTTAAAATTGAATTTTTCTTTGCTGAAAATGAGATACATATAAAAGTCCCATGATTCTTACAGAGAGCAAATGAAATACTTTGAATATATTTCTAGAATTCAAAGTCATTTATTTCTAAGAATGGTTAATTTTAAAAGGGAGACTAAGGTCAATAAAAATATGCATTGCAATACTGAACTATATAAGAATGTAGAGGAGATATATATATAGTCTCATAATCTCTGGCATGAGTATTTTTTAAAAGATAACCAATCCTAATACATTTATCTTATAATACACTAACATTTGAAATGCAAACATTGAAGAATTATTAATATGTGGTATTTTACTGACTGCAGGCATGTTCTTATTTTGTTCCCACTTAAATGTTCCCTTGGACTTTATAGGAAATACTTACTGCAGAGGAGGCTGTACAGGAAATGCCCACTATAGGAAAGAGGGTGAAGTGGGCATCTCAGTCCATAGAAAATAGAGATGGTCACCAGCCTTCCTCAGCATATTCAATACATTGCTCCAATTATCTACGTTGACAGGTTTTCTTTTCACACTTAACTTTTACACATTTAATCATCAAGGAATAAACGTCCAATTATTTTTATTTTTTCTGGTGTGCTTGTGCACTATTGTAAACCATATTCAGCACAGAATTCTTTTTCAATTCAATTATTTTTAAGATCAATGCTTAGGTAAATGGTTCAGCTATTTTAAAAGTTCATTTGTCATCACTGAATTTTTGTTTTATCACAATAAAGTTTCCCTCTGCCCTCAAAATGATATATAAAGATTTTATGAACACAAATCATTCACTGGGTCCTATTTTGTTAAATACTTTTTTCTTTATTGAGATTGTCTCCATTTGTCATTTAGTGTCTCGAAGGTTTATATATATATATGTGTGTGTGTGTATATATATATGTGTGTGTGTGTGTATATATATGTGTGTGTGTGTATATATATATATTACTGTTGTTAGATAAAGAATTTCTGAGCAAACCAGCTCACCCTCGCAGTTCAGGCCGGTGGCATCAAGGGAGAACCCTCTCTGGCATTCGCAGCTGAAACTTCCAGGGGTGTTCTGGCAGATTCCCTTTGCGCCGCAGAGCGAAGGCTGAGACCCACATTCGTTGTTGTCTAGAAAGACCGAGAGGGAGGGTCAACTTCCCAGTTATTACACGATCTAAAGTTCACATGAAGTAAGAAGCAAAGCATGAAAGTCTAGGTTTCATGATGTGAAAACAGCATTTTAGGCAAATTTATGCCAGGATTCACTGTCATATTCATAGGCAAAAGTGGCAAGAAAAAGTGTATTTCAACAGATTTGAAATTAGAACATATTTTGGAGCAATTGAAGGCCTGGTTTTATAGAATATGGACTGAAAAGTCTCTAAACATAAGAAAAATCCAGAGTGTTTGATAGCATGCTCTAAATTACAGTGAACCTTTAATCATATTTTATCTGAATACCATAGTTATAGTTACAGTGTGATATAAAGGTACTGCTTGGAGTATGGCTACTATGCTCACGCTTGGACTATATAGACCTTTTTTTCCTTTGGGTACTGTTCTTAGGAAAAAATATCTATACTATTAGCAACTTATTTAGACCAGTAATTATGAGGTATTGGTTCTAAATATAAGTACTTAGACATCATTGTATGTGTCATTTTAAATGCAATTTGTATGCATCTACCAAAATTTATAAAATTTCTCATTTGTAATTTTGTCTTACCAATGCAGGCAGTGTGATGCTGTGTGAAACCAGGTGGACATTTACAGGTAAACCCTCCCAGGGTGTTGACACAGAGGAACTGGCAGTTGTGCTGTTTGGTTTGACATTCATCAAGGTCTGGAAGGAAAGAGAAGCCAGTGAAAATCAGAGCAGAACTATCTGGCTATGCACCTTTTCTCATGGAGCCACAGGACATGCACATGTTCCATCGGGAACATTTTGTCTACAGTTTTGCTGGAAGCTTTGTGGACATGGTAAGCAGTTTCTTTTCATACAGTTAAGCAGCATAAATATTATGGGCTACTATGATAGGATTGTTAAGGTGATACAAAACACAAAGTTTTCTTAAAATATGAAACTAAATGACTGAATCACAGCAGTTTCCATGAGCTGTTCTCAAAGCTAATATCCAAAGGTTCCAATTCTTGCATTTATTACAGTATAGTTTATGGCTGGTCACCTGTTCTCATTAACGGAGGGATTAAGTAAAAACAAAACAATAAATTGATGAAGGTCCTAACACAAACATCAGGTCAGATTCTCCACATTCAAATAAAAACACCATCATTAATATCAGAGGAAGCAAAAACATAGTATCTCTAATCCTAAACAGTATTGATATTTGGACTCTACTAGTAGAAAACTCAAAATTTTATTTTGGCTAGATTGAAACTTAATTTGGAAAAATATATTTAAAATAAATGTACCACATAATATAAGATGTAGACAAGACTAATTCATTATCTTATAGCTTAAAAAACACTTTGGTTGCACTCATTTATAAACAATGCACAAAGTTAAATTGATCCATACTGGTTTGCTAAACAGGTAATGGTAGTGCTTGCTATTTTATATTATTTTTTGCTATGTCTTAGAAATAAAACCAGTATTTTATTGAGAATAGTTTCTATTTAAAGATTTCTTCAATCTATTATTTTCATTCTGATGAGGTTTACTATAAAATCAAATATGAGTCTAGTTATTGAAACTGTACTTTTTAATTTTTTTATTTCAGCATATTATAGAGGTACAAATGTTTAGGTACATATATTGCCTCTGCCTCACCTCAGTCAGAGCTTTAAGCATGTCCATCCCGCAGATGGTGCACACTGCACCCACTAGGTGTGTATATACCCGTCCCCTCCTATCCCCTCCCATCTGCCCAACACCTGATGAATGTTATTACTATATGTGCACATAAGTGTTGATCAGTTAATACCCATATGATGGTGAGTACATGTGGTGCTTGTCTTTCCATTCTTGTGATACTTCACTTAATAGAATGGACTCTAGCTCTATCCAGGATAATACAAGAGGTGCTAGATCACCATTGTTTTTTGTGGCTGAGTAGAACTCCATGGTATACATATACCACATTTTATTAATCCACTCATGCATCAATGGGCACTTAGGTTGTTTCCACATCTTTTCAATTATGAATTGTGCTGCTATAAACATTCAAGTGCAGATGTCTACATGAAAAAATGCTCAGCATCTCTAATCATCAGGGAAATGCAAATCAAAACCACAATGAGACATCACTTATCTCCAGTGAGAATGGCCTTTATGAAAAAGTCCCAAAACAATAAATGTTGGCATGGATACAGAGACTTAGGAACACTCATGTGCTGCTGGTGGGACTGCAAACTAGTACAGCCTCTGTGGAAAGTAATATGGAGATACTTCAAAGACCTACAAGCAGAACTACCATTTGATCCAGCAATCCCATTATTGGGCATCTACCCAAAGGAACAAAAGGCATTCTATAAAAAAGACATCTGCACTAGAATGTTTACTGACGCTATTTTAATGATCTAAGTTAGCTTGACAAATAATTACTTTTAATACTACCTAAGCAAAACATTTACTCATTCATCTTCACTTTTCCACAGTAAATATGTAATAAAGATAGCTTACAGAGATGAAATCTTAGATAGGCAAAAGCAACAAAAATCTTATTTTAGCGATTTGTTTAAATCTTTTAAAATATCACCAAAATTTTGGTTTCATTTTATTTTTTAAAAATTTATATGGTTTGCTATAAGAAGCAAACTGCTATAACCCGGGTTTAATTGTCTCTGCTTCCTACAATGGGCCCATTGGTAGAATTAGGTCTGAGTAGGAAGATGGCCCCTGGGAAGATGCACTGTCATGAAGGAGATGCACATGGCATAGTCCTCGAGTACCTAATATTGGGATCTGGAAGAAGAGACATAGACAAGGGTCACACTGCCAGAGATTCTTCACTTACCTTTGCAAGTCTTTCCATCCTCTTGCAGGACATATCCCCTTGGACACGAACACTGGTAACTCCCCTCGGTATTCTTGCAGATGAAGTTGCATGGTTTTGGGGACTGGGAACATTCATCAAGGTCTAAGGAAAAGTGACACAAAGATTAAACTCTCAGTTAAAAGAAACGACCAGCCTCATTCTTCCCTCCACATTCTTCATTCTTTTTGTTCTTCCTCTTAAACTTAAAATGGAATAAAGCCAGAGAGAAATATTGCACACAACAATTTTCTCTAAAGTAACATACTGGTTTACTTTGTAGATCAATCTATGGATCTTGAATAAATATGATAATGTCTAGACAACTGTATGCATTCAAAAACCCTGCTAAATTCTTCAGATTAATATACTTTGGTTTATAATCTGAGAGCATAAACTTAAAAGTAAGAGTTTCTTTCTTTTTGGACATGTGGATATAGCAGAAGCTCTCTTAACTGAAGCTCCCCTGAGCATCCTGTGGGATTGTGCAGATTGAGCTGGAAAACTTCTACTTGCCCCTTCCGGTCCAGTCCTCATCCTAGCCCACCCTGCTTTGAAGTCAGAGGAGTTGACCTCTACAGACTCTTGCCCTCCGTCTTCTGACTGGCCCTTGTTTCCTCAATTTCCTTCCATCAAGATCACTCAGCCTGGCTGAGTCACTGGTTCAGAGGTCAAAGATCCTGTCAAGGCAGCACTCTGAGCACACCTTTCTCCTTCCAGGTTTCAATAACTTCTCTCTTTACTCTTGGCCCAAGGCGGCCCAGCCCCAGCACACAGCATTATCCCTCCTGGCTTCTGAACACTCTGCCCACACCTTTATAGACAGTCCCTTTCTAAGACCCTCCTTGAACTGTCCTCATTGGAATATGCCACCTCTTTCCTGCCAGTGTGCTGATTGACAGCTGATAGTCTCCATTTCCTCAGTAGAACACACTGGCTGATGCCCACAGAATGGTGATAGAATAGCTGTTCTCTATTGCTCTCCTGCCCTTCTACTTCTACCAAGTGAGGTGAATGCTAATGGAGAATCAGTTTGCTTTTTCTTAACCTTTTTATGAGAAGTGCACTTATTACTGAAATAGGTGATTTGATGGAATATGCTGGAAGGAGAGGGAAGGAGGGGAAGGAATAAGAAAGGATATTTTCTTTAATGAAAGATAAGTTGAATTTTTTGGCAAGTCTCCTTCCTCCCAACTGTCATAAAATGGTGTGAGTGAAACAATAAAAAATTAAACATGAAAAAGAAATTGTAAAATAGTAGAAGGATTCTGTACTGAGACTGCTCCGCAACTGGAAATTTTAGATGATGCCTAACTGGTATATTTACGCAAAAACAAGTGATGAGAAACAAGCAAAACATATTCTCTTTACATACACACACATGTTCAAGTTCACAGTAAAAGCCCTTTCCCTTCATCAAAAGAATGACAAAGAAATGTGCATTTATAGCTTTTAAGCAAAACTATAAAATGGTAAAACTATATTTTTGTAATTTTTATATTTCCCTGATTGGACAGGCTTTTTTCATGAACAGAACAATTCTGCATCCCACATTATTGAACAAAGGGCAAGTGCTGTGTTATTAAGAACCACATTATTGAGAGGTTGGCACCATTTTAATACAAGGTACATTCCAAACCTCCGTAAAAAGGATACTCTACTGACAGTAAGTGGTTTGCAGGAAATAGCAGCTGACGACCCCCAGATGCAGAGGTGCAGCCTCACCCACACAGGAGGTTCCGCTGATGTCTGTAGTGTAGCCAACCTTGCAGAAGCATCGGAATGAGCCCATGGTGTTGATGCACTGACCATTGGCGCAGAGGTTTGGCATTACCTTACATTCATCAATATCTGTGCACCGAGAAAACAAAAACACATACAAGTTAATATATATGTGAGGGTAAAACTGGTTAGAAACTAAGAGGAATTAAGGAATGGAGATGAGATAACTAACAGCAAACATTCTTAATAGTGAATATCTTTTCATCATTCAGGCAAATGGCAATTTGGAAGCGACCGAAATTTAAGTATGTATTATTTTGGGGGAATCTATAAAGTTACCTCTTTGAAATACAACTAATTTGGAATTTGTGTTAATTTCCCATTTGATTGGCCTCAAATTCACATTTGCATTAGACTCTGAAGAAAAGTTTTTGCTAGCAAAGTAGTCACGCACAAGTTTGGAGTCTGTATAGTAATGGAGGAAATGGTATTTTTTAGGACATTAATATATTAGCTGGTTGTACAAAAAATGGAAACCACTAATCAATTATGAGACTTGCTAGCTTGTAAAGGTGTTTCAGAGTGAATTCCTGTGTATACTCAAATAAACAATATTTAAATATAGCAAGTGGCATTACAAGCATAGCTTTTGGGGTCAGACATGTGTCCCATTCCTGGGTCTACCCCTTAAAAAGAGTGTGATCTTGGGAAAATTACTTATTATTATCTTAGCTTTATGCTTCACTTTCTTTGAATAATAAATTCTACCTCTTAGGTTTGATAGGAAGATTAAATCTTTTAAAATCTCTAAAGCATTAGCAAAGAAATTCTCTCTCTCTCATATATATATATGTGTATATATATATGTATATATATGTATATATATACGCATACATGAAAATATATACCAAATATGAATACCTTAGATATTATTATTTAATCATTTTTTCACTTTTCCTTCAAATTAATCTAAGTTAGTGACATTCCCTGTGTTGATAATATGCATGAATTTCCTCAACTCCATACCTCTTCCATCAGTGGCGTATCCTGGGCCATGAGGACATAACTTTTTGTACTGGGCAGTTCCAGGAAGTGGGCAAAGCTCACACTGGCGGCCCCAGCCTCGCCCACCATCGCAGCAGCATTCTGACTTGGTGACAAGATTGCGGCTGCTGGATGCCATCTGACACATCGTCTGCAAGACCTCTGCAAAGCAGAGTCCCTGGCGATTGTCTGAAAGGAGTGAGAGTCATGGTCACGGAACTGACACTTCATTATTTTGGTTTTCAAATTAAACAGGACAATTAATTCTTTCCTTCTTAAGAAGAGGCTTTTAAAAAATAGGTCTTCTTTTATATTAACAGTCACACTGCTAAGACGGCTTCACAAAGTTTTGTTGGCAGCTAAGTTCACAGAGTGTGCTTTTACTATAGACTATAAGATTATTAAATTTGATAAAAAGTGATACCAATACTTTAGAAATAGATTTTTTTCCTTCAGTCCATTAGCTACTAAATGATAGCAAACTACCATTGCTGTGGAATACAAGGAAATGAAAATAAAATTATTTCCCTTCAAATAAACAAATGAGGACCAGGATTCATCTTTGGAAAGCAAATTCTAGACTATAAACTTGGTACTTATTTAATCTAATCTCTTATATTTTTCTATGTTTAAAAGACTGTTCAAATATTTGGACTGAGCAGATTTTTTTAAGTGTAAGTAAAAGGATTTTTCTGAAGTAAAAGGCAAAGAAATCTTTAATACGGTTTTATAAACCATCTTAGCAAAACTGTTAATAAAATGAGCACAGAAAATTACACTTTATATGTAGGTTACCTTTCTTATTTCCTAAAAGACTGATTGTTGGTAAAGGTATAGACTGGAGACAACAAAAAATAAAATATATTTTCTAGACTAAAAACTCCTGGCATTTGAAGCAGATGACATCATTCTGAGAAAAGTCTCATATGGTTGAAAAATGCTCTTTTTATGGCAAATCAGGTGATAAGTCAAACAGTTTACTGCTCTTATTCCTCTTTGTTTGCCTTAAATTTTACTACATCATAACTTACATCTGCCATAATTAACCACAATGGTTTATAATGTATGCATTTTAGCATTAAAATACAACATAAGGTCTGAGATTTAGATTTTACCCAAGAAAATATTTTGTAAAACATTTTTCTGTACCATGATATAAAAATTAACCTTCACTGCATTTTTGAAAAGTGCCATTTCCTTTGCATTAATTTTGGGAGAGCTTACCTCATATTGCAAATATTTTCTTTTGGAATTAAATCATCCCCTGATGTAAGTTTTACTAAAGTCAAATTTTCCATAGAGCTTAATTAATCTCAATTTTGGAAAGACTATTTAAGATTGCTATTTACATCACACATAGATGTGCACAAGACACACATGCAAATATGTCATTTTAATGGATGTGTACCTTTAGGAAGAGGAATGTGGATTACTCAAAGTGGGGAATGTCTTTAGCAGAGAAGAATATGTGTGTAGAGCTCTTCTGTGATGACATCATGCAACAGATGTTTTATCTACCAAGTAGAATGTTCTTGTATATCAACTTACCAAGGCATTCAGTGCCTGAAGAACTTGACTGGAATCCTTCATTGCACTCACACCTATAGCTTCCAATAATGTTAAGACAACGTCCATTTTCACAGATCCCTGGCTTGGTCCTACATTCATTTTCATCTTTAGGAAAACAAATAGTATGTATGATGACAAAATTATAAAATTACAATTTACAAAGTCTTTTCTAGTGAGTTGTATCTTATTTAAAACATCTTTACCAAAATACTAATATGATGGAATTAAAAGGTTATATGTGAATATTAATTTACTTTTAACTTCACTTATTCCTTCTAGCTGGATTCTTTTTTTTTTCCTGAGACAGAGTCTCACTCTCTTGCCTGGGCTAGAGTGCCAAGGATGCTGTCATCCTCGAGGTTGTTGTCATCCTCGAGGTTGCTGTCAGCCTAGCTCACAGCAACCTCAAACTCCCGGGCTCAAGCGATCCTCTGCCTCAGCCTCCTGAATAGCTGGGACTACAGGCATGTGCCACCATGCCTGGCTAATTTTTCTATATATTTTTAGTTGTCTAGCTAATTTCTTTCTCTTTTTTAGTAGAGATGGAGTCTTGCTTTTGCTCAGGCTAGTCTCAAACTCCTGAGCTCAAACCATCCATCAACCTTGGCCTCCCAGAGTGTCAGGATTACAGGCATGAGCCACCGCCCCTGGCAGGGATTCTTTCTTAAGTGTTTTCTTTTTGTTTCTTTTTTCTCCTCCTTGAAGAGAAGATATGGTGTTTAATAAAGAACTGGAAATTGGCCTCCATAAGGGATAAAATTGGCTTAGGACACTAGGCAAGGAGGATAACTTTGGAGGAAAAATGTCAGATATGAGAGAAAGGCTGGGGGCAGAGAGATGGTGGGTGTCGAGTGGGGTGATGAGTAGGGTAAGAGCCATAGGCCAAGGATAAATGACAAGCTGCTACACTGGCTTTGAGTAAAATCACAGAATAGTTGTCTGTGAGGGCAGTTAATGGGAGAGGAAATTTAGGTAGCACTGCTCTTTTGATTGGTGATAAACTACTCAAACAAAATTGTTTTATTAAGATTCTCTGTCCTTACTGTATGTTTTTGATAACTTTGTAAAATCTGTTTGATTTTTTTCAAAGCTATTCTGTTAGAACACAAGAGTTCTCATGACAATTATATCCTTTTGATAATTTGCTCCTTTCATCTTTATAGTTTTTTTAAATTTTTTAGTCTTCAATTTAATGACATTTGTTTTGCACGTGCTTTCCTTTTATTAGCTTTAACCTTGAATGTCTTTATTTTTAACCTATCTCACATTTTGGTTTAGGTACATTTCTATTAAAAAGTACCTGGCTGGAATTTAAAAAGAATTTAAAAAAATATACTTATCTCTGAACCGGTAATTTAAACTATTTATATCTACCACAATTACTGATTTGTTTGGATTCTTACCTGCCATTTTATATTGTTTTACATTCATATGCCATTGCCCCCTTCTCTCAACATTCATTACATTAATCCAGTTTCCTATGTCTTCCTTGTGCTCCCAACTCATGTTTGGAAGTTATCATCTTCTATTCTTCTAGTGGTAACCATTAAACAATTTCAACACATTCTTAACTAACAATTTTCCATCAATGCTAAGAATTATCTGTTTCAAGAGATTCTGGTCATAACAACCAACTTGGCACAAATTCACTTATCTCTGCTCTCTCTGTACCACTTACTGTGTTGATGTGATCCAGAAATTCTAGTTTGTTAAATTTTTAATGTGCCATCAGCATCTATTTAAACTAAATAATGAGACTTACTGGTTTCTTGGCTAACCATGGCTTCACATAGCTTGGCAATTATTTCAGAGAGGGTATGTGGGTGGCAAATATACTAAAACAGATTTCTGACAATATCTTATTTTGTTTGTTTTCACAATTGCTTGAGTATGCAATTTTAGTTCAAAATTATTTTTCCTTAAAATGTTTTGAAGAAACTACTCCTTTGTTTTCTTTTACCCACTGTTACTGTTCATTTGTAGGAAATCTGTTTTTTCTCTCTGGAAACTAAGGATTTTCACTTTGCTCTTAGTATTTTAAAATACACCATGATATGTCTTGTGTGGTTTTTTTTTTTTTTCCATTTTTAAGGGAAAAAACACTTGTAGAAATTTAAAAGTATATACAAAAGCAATGAGCTAAGTTATAGATTTTAAAAAATTGTTTGTTGTTTCTAGAATCTGAGTATGCAAGATCTGCCATCTTGATCTAATCTTATCCCTAATGTTTTACACCTTTATTTTGGTTTGTATTTAAGTTGTCTGAATTATTTTTCTCAAAGAGGGCTTTTGCTAGATATATTGCCTGGGTTCCTCCGTGTTTGATGATGTATAATATAGCTTTTATACTTGGATGATAACTTAATGTGGCTCAAATTCTTAGATTACTCTTGATTACTGCCATTGGAATTGAGAATTACAGAGACAAGTTGAAAAAAAAATAGCCTGCTTTTTTTTCTATTGTTGACATTTATAACTTCATTAGGATATATCTTGGTGTGATGCTGCCCCATATGAAATTTTTGTTTCCAGCATGAAACTTTCTATTCTTTGACAATTTGTGGGCTGCATCATCAGGATTACCAATTATTAAGCTTTTCATCATCTATCACTCTCGTCCAATGTTCACATACTGCTACCTCCTCTGTGTCTAATCCAGGGCAATACGATAGACTAGAGGAAAACAGGTCTCATTTTAACTCATGACTCAAATCTCAAACAGGTATGCAATCCTCCCTCGACGATCCTACTATACTTCCTAGTATGTCCACACTCCCATTTTCTAAAACGACCACTACACATTGAGACACATTAGGGGCCCTCTGCTACGAACCACCTGGCTGGCTGTGCCCTCATTTTCAACCTTCTGTCCTCCTCCAACAGCTGAAGTATCTTTGCTTTTTCTCAAAGGCCAACCTTTGCACTTGTACTCTGGATTGCTTTCCAAGTTTTCTCAATGCTTCCTTTTCAAGGAATGACTACCTCAGCATACATTCTCTAGTAACTTCTGTCCTAGAAAGCTCCATCTCTATTAATCATATGTTAGCCCTCCAGCTATTACCACATTTCATTATTTCCTTTCAGGCCAAAATATCTTGAAAGAATCTTCTGTGGTGATCATTTTCACTTCCTCATCTCGATTCTCTCCTTAACCCACATGCTCTGCCTGTCCACTGACACGTCCTGGAGAGGTCACCAAATCTAATTGGTGACCCGGCAGTCCCGACCTTTTCGGCCCCGGCGAAGGCTCCGCGGGAGGGCTGCGCCATGGGCGGGGCAGGGACGGTCTCGGGACGATTCGAGCACCCGCGCGACGACCGCGCAGTCAGCCCCTCGGGACGCTCAGCGGCGTGGGCGGCCGCTCCCCAGCGCGGCCCGCGCTCCCGCCCGCCGCGCGCGCTCCCGCGAGGACGCGCACGCCGCCCACGCGCGCAGGTCGGCTCGCCCCGCGCCCATCCCGCGGCTGCCCCCGGAGATGAGGGGCCAAGAACACAGGAAAGAGGGCACCGAACACCCGCTCCCTACGATTCCAAATGAGATTACCTGCTTACGTACTAACACTTTTCTTATCTCAAATTACAAAAACATAAACTAG